GAAGTTCTTCCATTCGTTGCGGTCCGCGTAGCCTTGGATCTCCTCAGCTTTGCGAGCAGTCCAGGCGTCCTGCATCTCGCGCGGTCGTTGCTGAAGCTGTCGGCGACTGCGGTAGAAGGCAGCTTTGTTGCCCTCAGTTGGGTGCTCTACGTAGGCTTTGTGTAGGCGGTTCTTCTCGGCAAGCAGATCTCTGATGGCAGCGTCGTTGTCGTCGAACCAGTCATGGTGTTGGCGGGGAGCGCGACCGAGGACGGCGAGCGCCGTCGACTGGACTGTGTCACGTATTTGACACTAGCGGTTCTCCACGGAGGCGTTCTCGGCAGCGGCGGCGGCGGCAGCGATAGGAAGGTTGTCTAGCCGTTGAGCTAGCTCATTGCTGAAATGGAGACGGTGAGCAGACAAAGACAACAAAGCAACATTCAGCTTACCTGGGGGTCGCTTACCTTGTGGTCTCCTGCGAGGCTGTAGGCGAATACGCATCTTCGAAATGACGAGGAGATGGTCGGTCCACCCGTCAGCACCCGCGATCGCCTTCGTCACCAGCACGTCCCGCTGATCTCGCCTCCGGACGAGGACATGGTCCAGCAGGTGCCACTGACGCGACCGAGGATGCCTCCAGGTGGCCTTCTCTCGCTCCGGCAGACAGAAGAACGTGTTCGTCAGCATGAGGCGGTGTTCTGCGCAGGTGCGGAGAAGCAGCAGACCATTGTCGTTTGAGCCGCGGAGACCGTGGGGACCCAGCACTCCTCTCCAGGCAGTATGGTCTGTGCCGACGCGGGCGTTGAAGTCGCCAAGGACAATCAACTTGTCCGCCTTCGACACAGTCGCCAAGAGGGCGTACATGTCCTCGTAGAATTTGTCTCTGACGGCGTCGGGGTTGGTCATCGTCGGAGCGTAGGCGCTGATAATGGTGGCGAATTTGCCTCCCCGGAGAGGCAGGCGGAGGCTCATCAGGCGATCGTTGATGCCCTGCGGCAAACAGGGCAGTCGTCCCACGATGTCATTCCGAATGGCGAAGGCGACGCCGGCGTCTCGTCGCTCTGCCCTCGGTCGGCCACTCCAGAAGAAGGTATAACCGGCACCCACCTCCTCCAGTTGGCCTTGTTCGGAGAATCGGGTCTCGCTGAGTGCGGCGATGTCCACCTTGTAGCGCGCCAGTTCTCGTGCCACTAGCGCCGTCCTCCGTTCCGGTCGGTTGCTCCTCGGATTGTCTAAAAGGGAACGAACATTCCAGGCTGCCAGAGTGAGCGGGCTCACCCTGTCAGTCTGGGGAAAACGAGTGGGGCGATGGGAAGGAGGTGGAGAAGAAGATGACGAAGGAGAAGAATAGGCAGAAGAATAGACGGAGGTAGAGGTAGAAGAGGTAGGATGAGGAGAATGAGTATGGTTGTTGTTGTTTCGAGTTTGATTGTTTCGACCGTGAGTTTTGCGTCTGCGACCACGGTGCGCCAGCAGACGACGTGGTTCCCCAGCAATTTTTAGGCCAGCTTTTCCAGCCCCCCCCGAAGGAAGCAGTGTCCTGACCCCTGAATAGGGGCTGCTTGATGTGCCGGCGCGGCCGAACTCTACTGTAGGCCACGAGTTTTTTTGGCAGTGGAAGAACGACTCGAATTTGCCAATGGCTTACGGCATTGCCGCAAGCCTGCGGTCTCCTACGGTGCACCAGATGGGCGCGTGTCGACGGTGCCAATTCGGAGATCCATCCCACGGGCTGATCAACGGCGTACCAGGCGGAGCCTCGTCTAGACGATGTCGATGCGACGTTCCACCACCAACCGGCTGACCAGAGGTGTGTCAGACAGAGCCTCGTCACGACGGCGCCGACGCGGTGTTCCATCCGACCAACCGTCCACGGAGTCCGCAGTCACCTGTGCACGCGGCACAACGCGCACAGGGAGTAACCGCCCTTATAGTTCGGTAGAGTTGCACAGCATCTACGTTATCCATTACTACTGCGCCAAAATCAAGATGATTGGCGATTGGCGTGGACCCAACGGCTGACAGAGTTTAGTGGAGCGTTTGATTGTGGCATATACGGCCCGGAGTCAAATTCCTCGTGCACCATGCTTCGTTCAGACGGTATCTCAGACAAGGAGGAGTGTCATAGACGACATATTAAGAAGACATAGCCGGACCCCCAGTCCTGAGTAGGGGCGAATTGTCACCTCAGTTGGCAACCACGAGTGTTGGCGAGTTCGGTTGTTCACAATGAGGAGACTAGGCAACTGATTCGAAATAGATCGATCTAGATCTTCCTTCCTTCTCCCACGCCTCAACAGTCAATTACACGCAAACATTTCGTAGAGAAACCCGTTCTTACCGTTCAATAAGAAGATTCCAAATTTTCACAGGAATTTGGCAGACATAGTCATCTCTGTGTTCCCATAGTATGGGTTTGAAGTAGCCATGACTGCAAAGGAAGTCCTCATTGTTGACTGGTCCCGGGTCAGAAAATGTGGAAAAACGAGTTAACCATCGACGGTCGACCCACACAGAATCCGCCTTTGAGGGTGAAAGCTAGAGAGACAAGATGAAAAGGCACACGTTCTCGTGAGTCTATGATAATACAAAGGAAAATACGCAAAGTTAGAGAGACTAGCTAGCATGAAAGCGGGACAATCCTAGCCTGTGTATCTCGAAAAGGTCCGAAGACCTTATGTCAAATAAACTTTGGAAGACTAGTTGACAAACGCAGGTACACTTTAAAAAATTTTCATTACGTCAATAGGGAGGGTACGTGGGCGGATTAAATGCGGTCAGTGGGGGCTCCCACAGTTCGTTTACAATGAAGAAAAATATAATGGCGGGAATGGATAATCCAGCCGAGGGAAATTAGCTTAATTCGATCTACTCCGCGTTAATCGCCTAGTTGACTTTGGGTCATGGCAACCACAGGCTCTGCACAAAGTACCGACATGTGCAGCCTGACGATTGTTGTCTCCGCTGTCGAAAGCGGGTGTTCCCATAACGACTTATGACAGGTTGCCGGCATTTGACAGATCACTTAGCCTCCTTGGGGTCCACCTGATCGCTAGAATCTACCAGATGTGTGAAGATGATGGACTCATCATTCATGCTTCTCTTTTTAAAAACAACATCGGCACGTGTTCACTCATCAATTTGTGCATGTTTAATTAATTACCCGGCGGAGCAGGTAAGGGAGTGGATGCGAACGGAGGCAGTCTGTGGTGATAAGATGTCTTTGCTTTGAGCGCGCGTAATCAGGCTAACAGACTGTATCTAAGCAGTTGCGAGAGTCCGGGGAACGGCTAAATCCAAACGCACCTATACCAATTCGCCCACCAAGTGGCGCTGCAATGACAATGCAATAGAGTCGTCCGTCCTGTTGTAATCTTCAGTTATCGTTCGCCTCTCGGCTGTGAACTTGGAAAGTCAGTCCAAGAAACTGTCTTCAGGCAACGAATACGTGACATCCTCTAGTTCGACTCCTGTCCAGTTCTAACCCTGCTGGTTAAACAGCAGATCCGAAAAGGAGGTAGGAAACTTACGATGTATGTACTATTGTGACCAGGTATTCATTTGGCAGACGCTTGGTCAGATAAGGGGAATTTTTACCCACGCAAAGCGGCCCACCGATTCTTTATGTGGGCGGTCGGCGGTTCGGTCGCTACCTACAGTACGCCTTTTCAGGCCGTGTGAGTTTATTTCGCATAGCCTGCGCCGAGGGAATGTTCTAACTTCTTTCGCCGGCAGAAAGTACTTTCCGTTGCATCGTTGGAGCACTGTGCTCGTGTCTGTGTAAGAGGCAGATGTTATTACGGTGCTTTGTCATGCCTACGAAAAGGCGTTTCTAGGCTCAGCAAGTCGCGAACAAAGGGGATACCTATTCTGTTAAACAGTCGACCTGTCTTCGGTCCCTCCTGGACATCGGACTGCAAGCTATACTTGTCAGATGAACATTAGGGTACCGAAGGGCACAGCAAGCATGCTTAAGAAGCGAACAAACTACATATAAAATCTTCACCGGAGAGTTGACCTTCAAGTGCGCCAGGTAGGTAGGTGAAGTACACAGAAGACAAATGAGAATAATATGATAAAGTAGATTACCGAATATTCTGTGGCCAAGGAGTCCACCTGGATCCGCAATGGTGCAATATTGTCATCCTGCTTCCTGGAAGCAAAAAATAATAGCACGGAGTAGGCATACAAAACGCTACAAATAACTAACGAAATCAACGAGATTGCCCGGATGCCCTGATGAAATTCATTCTGGCAAACAAGGCTACTTCGTGCATTTATCATGTAAAATATGAGGACAATTTTTGGAGATAAAGCCAAAAAAAGAAAGACACACGCCACAGTGGGTTGTTTGGAAAGGACCTCAGACTGGCTCAATGGTGAAATGACAAAATAAATAACTACAATGTGCGCTCTAAATTGATAAACACAAACAATCTGGCTGAGAAGAGGCCAAGAAGGCCACTGTTGCCTTGATAAAGTGGTGATGTCTGCTCAATGCTCCAAAAAGAAACAAAATCAGCGTCAAAATATCCTTGGATATAACAACCTGGATAAGCGAAAAATGCAGATTTTATTCGTTTAGGGCCCAGCAGTAAGTGTGAGGTTTTGATTTTCTTCAAAAACATGCGGCGTAGTCATAAGATGGCTTCACTAAATTAGGACAAACGGACAAATTAGAAAATTTAATCCCAGTTGGTAAGCGATCAGTTCCCGGATAGAAAACGGAACTAGGTTCAGGGATGAGTGGAGAGGAGAAACTCGCGGATTACCTTGGAGAGCCTGACA